AGGCTGCTTTCTTTTCCTGATTCATGGTAGAGGAGAATCTTTTTCTTACCTCCTTGCGGACTTAGACCAACATTCATATTCCCTTAACTTTAGGTCCGCATGTGCAGCCTCACCCCAATCCGTTCCTAACAACACATCAAAGGGCAAGTTATCCTCCACCAAGAAGGTTAGAGAGTGGAGAACGCGTTCCACCTTCCCCTTTGCCTCTAGCCGAAAGTATACTTGTTCTCCCTCGACGTATCAATCCATGACAGTTTCACTACTATTCGCCAACTTACTTACAATGGGCTCACCTAACTTCTTAACCTTAAGCCCAAGATGCAGTTTCTGCAAACCTCTTTTACTAATATAACTGCGTGTAGACCCGCTGTCTATCATACCTCCTACTCTAACTCGATTTATTTCTAGATCTGCAATTATTAGTTGTCCTTTCTTTTTACGCATTTCAGTCCAGGCTTGGCGACGAGCGGCCAACTCATCACCCACGCCAGCGAGGGATCCATCTAGAGAGGTGCATACGTTTGCCACCTCTGGACAGTGTACTAGATGGGGACTGACTTCCTCTTCAGTTTCTCCCAGTGGAGCCTTCGAATGGGTGGATTCTGGTTTTTCAACATTCGAAGCTCCGGTAGAGGCAACTGACACCTCTACTGGCTGTTCCCTTTTGCCCCCCTATAATCAGGGCAATAGGGGACAATGTGGTCGGGGTCCCCACATTTGAGGCATTGGTCGGCTTTCTTTCTTTCAGCCCATACCTTTTCTGTTATTCCCAACTCTTTCCAAGGCTCCCCTTCGGGTAGGCCTGGATGTGGTGGGTATGGCTTATCCCACTTTTGTACCATGAGCCTCTTCCTCTACCCCAGGTGGAGTAAGAACCACGGCCACCGTACGAGGGACCATTTCCCATTCCTCCCACGTAGTGGCTTCCTTCACCACCACCCCTCTGGGTGCCGAATCCTCGTCCACCACAGCCGCGACCTCTTCCTCGGCCACGCCCTCTTCCTTGACGCCCTCCCCCGCGGGCTGCAACAGCCGCGTAACTCCCCTCCTGAGCTACCGGTCTATTGGGTTCATCGAGACTATAGTCAACCTGATCCCAGGAGATGGTCTCGGCGCCTCCTTCTTCAAAGGTTAGAAGGAGACTGTTTTCCCAGGTAAAGACCTTGAGATAGTGCGGTTTTGCCATCTTTTTCCCGCTTGCAGATCCTTCCAATAATGGCAATAGTTTGCTTCCGCGAGGAAGCTGGCATGATCTATGGCGATCTTGCCGAACTTCTCATATGTCATCCCCTCTTCCTTGGTACGGGGATAGAGTTGTGTTCTTAGGGGATCCGGGAGTGGTCGTGCAAAACTGTTCAGAATTTGGGCTGGCGTCAACCCGTGATCAGGGCATTGCAATAGTTTATCCATAGTTGCCTTTAGTGCAGAGGCACTCTTCCATTTCCTGTCAGGAAGGCTGAGGATCAACATTTCCGTACGTCTTGCCAAGGTTTTGTCCTCAAATCTTTCTCTTATTAATTTAAGGAAATCTTCGATTCGCGTTTGCTGCGAATACTCTACCATAGAGCTGCATCCCGCCTCCTTTTGCAGCGAGATGACGAAGCTCATGGCGTCGCCTCCCATGCACGAAGTGGCCATCAACACCCTGTCCCAGTATGGGATACGCTGTCCGTACACATAGGTTTCAATTGCCGCCGCCCAGTGCAACACACTCCCTTCTTTCTTTCCATTGTAGGTCCAGGGCAGTTTAAGTTTTATCTTGTTAACTTGCCCGGTTTCCTGAGCAAGTTTTTCTTTCGGATCCCCAATCTTCCTCTTTCCTTTCTTATCATCATCGTCGTCGCCATCCCCATCTCCGCCGTCGCCTCCAGCTCCCTTTACAATCTTCTCTACGACTTCCGGGGTGAAGACTTTATTAATATGTTCGTCTAAAGCCTGAATGTAAGTTTGCACATGTTGGTCGACATCCTTGGCTGACTTTTCCACAAAGTTATTCCAAACGTTTTCGAATTCAACGCGATGCGCTTCAACCCTTTGTAGCGTCTGATGCATTAACTTCATATCTTGCCTTGTGTTGAGGACTGTCTCCCTGAGGAGAGCAAGTTGGGCTTCGGTTTCAAAGGGACTTTCCTTTTGCGCTTCTAGAGCTTTCTGCAATTTCTCCCCCTCCGCATGCAACTTCTTTTTCTCTTCTACTTCTTGCCGCCTAGCGGCCAACAGCCTGCGATTTAGTTCAGACCTTTTCTCTTCCAGCATCAGATTTCGTTCAACAGCATCTGTAACAGTGGCCAACTTGGCGATGAACGTATCTCGTTCTTCATCAGTTTCCTTTAATGGTTCGCTGGAGTAGTAGTACCGGTTGCCCCAGTCCAGCGGTTCAACGGGAAGGCGGGTCGTTGTGCTGCTTTCCGGAATGTCTTGGCGACGACGTCTTTCCAAAACTTCTCCTTCTTCCTGTCCTTCTTCTTCTTCTTCTTCTTTTATACTCTTCAACTCTTCTTCCAACTCTCTTTCCATCTTCTCTTTCATCTTCCTCTTGACTTCTTCTTCTTTCTGTCTTTTCTTGGCCTCTCTCTCCTTTGTCTTCTCTGCCAACTTACGATCTATCTCTGCCTGCTCTGCAGGTGTAGGGCCAGGCTTCACTGTTCCAGACCGCATCAGCATGCGGGACGTGCACACACGCCCGAACCCCAGTGGGAACATAAGCCGGAACAGCGGCCCCAACAAGACAGAAAGGGCCAACAGGCCCTGGATGGGATAGTCATCCATGATGACTACCGGCACAGGAAACCCTCCGCCGGGTCACCAAGGTACTATCCCACTCAACTTACTTACTAAGTACCTGTGGCAATGGAGTTCTGCGTTTTTTTTTTTTTTTTTTTTTGCTTCGGTGGACTGTAGAAGGTGCTGCGTAGATCAAACAAGTATATATACTCTCTTTTTTTTTTTCTGTGCTATGCTGTCTGGCTCCCTGGATCAACTTTTGGCAATGTGTTTGCCTCTCTTGATATATACTTTTTTTTTCCCTTTCTTTTACTAACTTGCTGGGTGTCTGATGCAGGTATGGAGTACAGCGCAGATTCAGATGGTTCACTTATCCAACCAGGCAGGAATACTTCGTCCCAATGTTTCTTTCTTTCGGGCTTAACAGGCCCTGTAGATGCTCAATATCATCCTTATACTGCCTGGTACCTGCTATCTGACGTGGCACATAGCCACTTCCCACATCGACTCTTGGTTCTTGATGACGCTACCCAGCCTGCCTATCAAGAGGGATAGGAGAGAGACCTACTCCTATTCGCAGAACACTGGACCACCTACTCTAGTGTGACCAGTTCCTGACACGTCACACTTGGGTCATCAGACTCTGACGGCTCAGACCTGACATCTATGACAACCCAGATCCAGACTTCGACTCCTGACCAGATCAGC